CGAAAAAAGAAAATAAAAAAAAAAACAAACCATCGCTAGCCACCCGTTTGAAATGAACTTCTGTAGAACAGCCTCCTCATTGACTTTTTTACCCTGAAAAATTGCCAGGTTATGAATTACAGCTGTTACGAGCACTGCCAATACAGCAAATAATTGGGCTGTACACTGATTGCCGGCGTGAAGATATGCTTTTTACACAGTTCTCCGCAGGTTTTTGTCGCTAACAGCACTGTTTTCTCCGGTGAATGCTTCTAGCTAAAAATTCAGCTTTCTAGCTTTTCTGGTTCCCGAGTTAGCAACCTATCCGCCAAAAATTTTCATGGACACGTACGTAGGAACTACGTGAGCGAGGGTGTTCATTTTGAAGAGAGGGGCCCGCACACGGATCTAGATTAATCCCCATAAATTTCAGCCTTGTAGCTTTTGTTGGTTTCGAGATGAAAAAACGGTACAGACGCAGATACAGACACATACATAGACAACCCCTCGATAATGCAGGTTTTTTCATTTCACATATGCAAGAAACGCATTAAAAAATACTAAAATACTAAGAATGAAAAGATCGTAAAGCCAACCTTGGCTAACATGTCCGATGCAGCTGATAGTGCATCATGTTTGGAAATTTCACCACTATCACTACTGCAAATAGCGTTTACCCACAGATGGAACAATGCAAAATCGGTTGTTGTGAATCCGGAAGCTTCTCGCAACAGATCACTCTCCTGATGATCGTTGATCTGAAAAAAAAGATAAAAAAAAAGAGGAAATTTCAGTTTTTAAGTTTATTTTTTACATTGATTTCCTGGTTATCTTATTCTTTCATAAGCTTGTTTATTCGTTACCTGTTCACTGCAAATTTTTCAACTGCCAACACGAACCCCCTACTGGTAAAATACCTTATTTTATCCTACCTTCGGCAACTGCCACGACAAGATGTTTAAACATAGACAAAAGAAATCTTAAAACGGATAAAGCCATGCAAAATATTTCTAATGGTAGTAGCATGAAGGCAAACAAACGTCAGAATCACTAACAATTTGACCTAAATAACTGGAAAAAAGATTATCAGCTGCATACATCGACAAACAGACTAGGAATCAACACTTGTTCTTTATGGACTGTCTCGAAAAACCTACGAAAAGCCGGCCAAAAAGCCATCACAAAGCAAAAAAGAGGAAGCTGTATTTCCCTTGAAAGGCAGATACACAGTAGATGTGCCGCCAGGCTGACCCTGAAGGACAAGGACCTGGTGGTTTAGTGGTAACAAATTGTGTCCGGATGTGAAGAGGAGTGGTTCAATTCCCTCCTGGTGCAGGGCGATTTTTGAAAAGGGCTCCATTCACGGCAGGCATCTGCACAAAAAAAAACAGGTAATTTCGATGACTTTTTTTGCAATCGTATTTTTGAAAATTTCTTTTCACATCACCACCAGCTAATTTTTGCTGAAGTCGACCGCGGTTTTGCTTAACCTGCCTTAGAAAATTCGATTCTGGAAAACTAAAATCAAAAAGGATAAAAATTAAAGTGCACAAAAACAGCGATAAAAGAAATTGGGGGGCATAAAGAAAAGAACCAGTAATTTTGTAGATAATTTTCCCCATTTTTTTTCGTTTTACATTTTTAAGTCGCTAATTTTGACTTTTACTAATCTAAGTTACATGTCTTTAATTGATATCAGCCGTATATATTTATAGAGCTGACATCAGTACTTACAGAGGGAAGTAAAGAACTATATACTTATAGAGGGAAGTAGAGAACCGATAGAGGTTCACGACTTCAATCTATGATCATAGAACGAATGATAATAACTTACTAGAACGAGATAATCGTTATCGTCATCATATTCATCATCCACTTGCAATAATCGAAGATCTATCGGAGCCAAGGCTACGTTAATCGTCCTGATTAAACTCGCAATTAGGTCTTTTTCTCGTTTTTCGGACAATTTTTCAGTAATGCAGATTTGTTCATCTGAAAGAAAAAGTGAAATTTATTTTTATTTTATAAAAAATGTGCACAAATTCGGTATAAATCAGACGTAGCACGAAAGCTACTAACATCTGGATTGATTAAAATGTTTGTAAAAGTTTAAAAGCGCAATGCGCTTTTAAACTAACATCTGGATTGATTAAAATGTTTGTAAAAGTTTAAAAGCGCAATGCGCAAGACCGTAGTGGACGGAAAAATTGCAGATTGCATAGCTATTAGAACTATACCATGAATTACAGCAGTTTCAAGTATTTTAGGCATATTGGCAGTTTCTCAAAAAGGTATATTTTGCAAAAACCACCTTGTAATAACTGCTTATCAACTGTCATGAACAGGGGCCTTTTTCGAAAATTGTTCCGGACTGGGAAGGAATCGAACCACTCCAATTCACGTCCGAACTGAACGTGTTACCACTACACCACCGGTCATTCTTCGCTCTTCATGTTCCGCTTGGCAGCACATCTACTGTGTATCTGCTCTTCAAGGGAAGACACACCTTTTTTTTCTTTATGGTGGTTTCTCTTTTAGGGGATTTTCCACGACAACAAGTAGATACCAACAGACACGGATGACCAAAGGAGCTTTCTACTGTTTGTAGCTTTGTTTATGGTAAGCTTAATATTGATAGAGTTACTGGTGGAAGTCTTCCACTAACAGTCAGATTGAGAAAAATCCTAATCTTTCCTGGATAGCTTTTTGTTTAAAAAAAAAAAACCTTTATTCTAACTTCATTGAATAACAAAAAACAGACCTTTTTCAACATGGGGCTGGCAAGCTTTGACGAACTGAATGAATCGCAAGCAAAATAGATGAGACTGAAATGGCACAAACGGATAAATTTTCAAAAAGAATTCATAACGTAAGCTCTGAACAAAGAAAAAAAAATTTCGGAAGAAATTCAGGACTGCCTGGGTTATCTCTGAACAAAAATTCAGGAAAAAAAATTGAAAATTCCGCTACTCGCGATGGGCTAATTTACAGCTAAAAATGGATATTTAGCACTAATGTGAGCAAGTCAGAATCCTACAGGAAATTCCCCACCTGATATCTTAGTAGTGGGAAAGCGAGCTAAATGGAACGATCACCGATCAAAGCAACAAATTTAGTCTTAATTTCTGCTTAAAAAGTATTAAATCTACGTTCTAGCAACCTAAAAACCCCACTGGTACAACAGAAAACGAGATTCATTTGAAACCAACAGCTTACATAGGACACAGATCATCCCCGTGAAATTTCAGATTCTTATCCTGTCTGGCAAATTGCAATCCCACCAAAAAATTCGCATGCATCCTTTTAGGTCCCATAACAGGGTTGGTTGAGGAACAAAAACACTAGATGTTGGAGAGATAGAGGAGTGCTTTTATACCCGGCTTACGGACAAGTTGCTGCGGACACACACACACACATACACACAGACAACCCCGTGACAATGCGTTTTATAGTGCTGT